AATTAAATCCCGCAATTTTCTCAGCAATAGCTACTGAATGCTTCATCTGGGTCCTAGATGATCGCTCAAGAATTCCGTCCCCAGGAGCAAGCTGATGGTGGTAGGCTGCTACTGAAGGATTGAAGAGTGGGCTAATACAAATTTCTCGGAGACTCAGAGATTCTCTTCTATTTTGTTACTGTATCTAATTCTTTTCCTTTTCTTTCTTGTAACGGCCCCTAAAGAACTGCTATTGGAATCATGATAGCAACTATCTTTCAGAAACTGAATGTCCCAAATGGGTGCTGTGGCTTCATTAGCAGAGCACAGGCCCAACATGATGCTCAGCAAATCTCTTTCCTCCTCCGGCCTTTAGTCTCCACATTTGTGAAAATAGAAAGATCGGACCACACAATGCCTGAGGTGTCCTCTCCCTCTAACATCTATGGCCCCACAATTCTTTCTGCTCATGTGAAAAGAAAAATGGTGATTTGTATCATTACACCTGCTTGCAACAAATTCAGACATAGAAATGTATAAAATCGGGGTTGGTAACATTTTCCTGAAAAGCCAGATTAGTAAATATTTTCAGCTTTGCGGGCCATACAGCCTCTCTAGCAACTAGTCAACTCAGCCACAGTAGCGTGAAAGTAGCCACAGACGATACATAACCAAGTGAGTATGGCTGGTTCCAATACAACTTTATTTACAAAGTTAGGGGCTGTGCACAGGCTGTAGTTAGTTTGCCAACCCCCAGTATGAAGTATAAAGCAAAAGCAGGCCTCTCCTACTGGGGTTACTCCCAAGTCTGGCACATGCTCTCTCGTATCTTTATGGGCTCACACAAACAGATGTGTGCACGTGGCTTTAGTTTTCAGAAAACAGAATGGGATCATTCTACACATAGCTTTTCCCTGCACCTTGTTTTTTTCACTCGATAATCCACTTGGAACACACAGATCCACATCTTTCTTTTTAACAGAGTGTGGCCTGCCCTGGCACAAACTGTAACCACCCCTTCGATGGACCACTAAGGTTTTCTTCGGTTTTTCACTCTTAAAAATATTGCTCCATATCACCTCACCTCTATTAGAATGGCAATGATCGAAAACACAAAAAACAGGTGTTGGCAAGCTTGTAGACAAACTGGAACCCTCATCGATTGCTGGTGGGAATGCAAAATGGTACAGCCACTGTGGAAAAGTTTGGCAGTTCCTCAAAAAGTTGAACAGAGAACTACTATATGGCCCAGCAGCGCCAACCCTAGGTACATACCCAGAAGAGGCAAAGGCAGGAATGTAAACAGAAACCTGTACGCCAGTGTTCGTCCCAGCGTTTTTCACTGTAGTCAAAATCTGGAGACAACCCAAATGTCCATCAACAGATGATGGATAAACAAAATGTGGTGTGTATGTACAATGGAATTATTACCCAGCTCCAAAGAGAAATGAAGTCCTGATGCATGTCACAACACAGAAGAACCTTGAAAACATCATGCTGAGCGAAATACGTTAGTCACAAAAGGACAAATACTGTATGATTTCACTTAAGTGAAATAAGTAAATATATAGAAATCAAAGGTAATTAGTGGTTACCAGGAGCGGGGGGGAAGGAGTTTTGCTTAGGAGGCACTGAGGTTATGTTAATGGTGGTGGAATTACTTGGAAACAGATAGCAAGAATGGTTGTACAACTTGAAGAATGTAATCAATGTTACTGAATTGTACATGTAGAAATTGTTGAGATAGTCTCAAGGAACATCTAGCTCAACTGGTATAACAGTTCATAAAGAAAATGTGCTGCATTCTACTTTATGAGTAGCATCTGGGGTCTTAAAAGCCTGTGAAGTAGCCATCTAAGATACTCCACTGGTCTCACCCCTTCAGGAACAAGGGAGAATGAAGAGAACAGGATACAAGGAAAAGATTACTCCAAAGGACTAATGGACCACAGCTACCACGGCCTCCACCAGACTGAGTCCAGTAATAGCTAGATGGGGCCCAGATACCACCACTGACTGCTCTAACAGGTATCACAACAGAGGGTCCTGGAGAGAACTGGAGAAAAAAGTAGAACAAAATTCTAACTCACAAAAAAGGACCAGATTTACTGGCCTGACAGACTGGAGAAAACCCAAGAGTATGGCCCCCGGACATGCTTTTAGCTCAGTGGTGAAGTCACTTCCAATATTCACCGTTCAGCCAAAGATTAGTAAGCCCCATAAAACAAAATGGAACTAATGAGGCACAGCAGTCCAGGGACAAGGACTAGTAGGCAGGAGGGAACAAGAAAGCTGGTGATAAGGAACCCAACGTTGAGAAGGGACAGTGTTGATACGTCGCGGGGTTGTTAACCATTGTCATAGGGCAATATGTGTACTAACTGTTTAATGAGAAACTATTTGTTCTGTAAACCCTCAGCTAAGACACACACACACAAAAATAAAGAATTATCTATGTGAGATCAAATTGACAACACAACTCAAAAGGTGTGATGGGAAGCCTAGGGGGCAGTGAGTTGAAGATAATGGTGATGGAATAATTTGGAAAAGGATAGTGAGAATAACAGCACAACTGGAAGAATGTAATTGATGTCACTAAATTGTACATGCAGAAATTTCTGAAATCCTGTATCTTTAGCTATGTATATTTTCACCAAAAAAAAAAAGGGCGGTCGAGAAGGGAGAGTGCTGACATGTCTTGGGATTGTTAACCAATGTCATAAAACAATATGTATACTGACTGTTTAATGAGAAACTATTTGTTCTGTAAATCTACATCTAAAATACAATAAAAAAAATTTGTGAGCAGCCATCTAAGACACTCCACTGGTCTCACCCTGTCTGGAGCAAAGGAGAATAAAGAAAACCAAAGACACAAGGGACAGATTAGATTAGTCCAAATGACTAATGGACCACAACTATCACAGCCTCCACCAGACTGAGTCCAGCACAATTAGATGGTGCCCGGCTACCACCACCGACTGCTCTGACACGGGATCACAACAGAGGGTCCCGGACAGAGCTGGAGAAAAATGTAGAAACAAAATTCTAACTCACAAAAAAAGACCAGACTTACTGGTGACTTACTGGTCTGACAGAGACTGGAGAAACCCCGAGAGTATGACCCCAGGACACTCTTATAGCTCAGTAATGAAGTCACTCCTGAGGTTCACCCTTCAGCCAAAGATTAGACAGGCCTATAAAACAAAATGAGACTAAATGGGCACACTAGCCCAGGGGCAAGGACGAGAAGGTAGAAGGGGACAGGAAAGCTGGTAATGGGGAACTCTAGATCGAGAAGGGGAGAGTGTTGGTATGTCACGGGGTTGGCAACCAACATCACAAAACAATATGTGTGTTAACTGTTCAATGAGAAATTAGTTTGCTCAGTAAACCTTCATCTAAAGTACAATTAATAAAAGCAATTATTGAGAGAGCACGTTTTGGTATGTCTATTTTCACCACAATAAAATTTTAAAACATATATACCGTTCCAGCGAAATACTTTTACCCTTGCCTAGGGGCACTTGGTCCTACAGTTTCAGGTAGAGATCAGCTGAGACACACATCTGGTCCTGCAGCAATCCAACCCAATCATGACAGAGACAGGCAATGCAGGAGACTGAACTTGGGGGAGATTAGGACCGGAGGAAGGAGGAAAGGCAGAGTGGGGGTGACGGGGGATGAGGGGGAGCCCGACAGGTGCAAGCCAAAGCCACAGGTACCTTTTTCAAAAACGTTGCGGCTGTTTCTCTCTTTGTTGCTGTGATCCGCTTCACCCCCTCTGGAGACTGGACACGGATTATCTGTTGTAAATGAAACAAGGTGGTGACTGCACAGAATGATAAGGACCTGGTCGAGCGTTAAGACTAATGAGCCTTTTGGCACCTGCATCACTGAAACTGAAAGCCAAACCACCCTTCCCCTTTCAGTACTCAACCCAGTCTTTCTGGATGAAGCAGAGGGGTGTGGTTCATCAGCATCTGGGAGAACATAAGATATCCTGGGTACTGCCCTAATTCCCAAGTCTCAGCCTGTTTTACTCAGAAAAATCCAAGGTGTCTTTAACCACTATAAAGAGCTTATCTTTCTCTCCAGACGCTGAGACCTACAAAAACAAACACCACAAATCATGAATGACTGGCTTCTTTAAAAAGACTTCTTTGCTCCAAAATGTATACACAGACATCAGACTGACTTAAAAGAATCATGGAAAATCTACCATATGATTTACTTTTAATAAATAAAAAGATTAGAAGAAAATTAAGGCTTTTAGCATCTTGGTAAAACTTACTGGAGTTTTAAAAAGTACTTTCACAGCAAGCCTGAAATGGGGGAGGCCTGGAAGATCACTGGACAATGAGTATCATATTCCAGGACTTGACTTTATTTTGATCAAAGCCTTGGCTCTGAAGTCAAGGAGCGTGAAAGGGCTTGCCCACTGCAAAGAGCATGGCAGAAGCTGCTCCAAGCACCGGAGGGACAGGAGGGACTGCCAACAGGAAAGGGCTCTGTCAGCACTCTCAGCAGCCACTGCACTGGGCATTGTATTTAAAACAATTTGATTGCAGAGGAAAAATGTCACATGCAATGTAAAAAAAAAAAAAAAAGTTTCACTAATATATTACAAAATGCCACGAAGGCTTATGATCTTCTGAACTTTGTCCACTTTGGGATCAAACTAAAATCTAGATTTTCCTAAAACAGCTTGACCTTGTATCTTCCTGGTGTTTTAACAACTTTCACTTGACTGAAAACACTTGGCCCCCATATTGTTCTCAACTTTTATGGTTTGTTTTGAATAATCCCTATGACTACTCCAAGGATGAAAAGCATAGAATAGTTTTTATTCAATCTTCTCGCTCGTCTGTGTAGAGAGCAAATACAAATTCATTTTTTTAACTTTTGATTCTATAGCACGCCACTCTG